CTAGAGTATGCAAAACTGGCAAACACTCTGGCGTCGAGGTAGTGGCAGTCAGCAGTTTAAGAGTCCTCCGGTAATGAGGTAACCATCCGCAGGTGTGTGAGGAGGCCAACGAGAACCAGGCGCCGCCTGGTGGTGGAGGGAAGACAAACAAAAGCACAACCCACACAAACTGGATTCCTAACAGAAGTTATTTTTTATATCTTTAAATTAGTTTGTAATATATTATTATTGACTTCAACCTGCACAGCCACATTTGAAGTACCTGAAGAGCCTTTTGCTCTTACAGATATTGTGAGATTCCAACCTTGAATTAACTTGCACACATGCTTTACTTGAAGCAATAAGAAACAATAAGCAGGTCTCAGGCAAAAGGGTGTTAAAAAGTAACAAAGAAGAGAAGTGGAGGGCTCCAAATCTATATTTCACCTTGGGCTCCAGTATGACTAAAACCGCCTCTGGCAGCTACAGTAGCTCCTGTGAGAGGGAGAGGTGCTCACTGTTCAGCTTTACATCATTTCACAGTACCTTCAAAATTCTCCTTTCATAAAAAATATATTGCTTTTTAGATTGCCCCTTATTTTCAATTGGTTTCTGATGAAACACTATTTTTGCCTGTTCTGAAGGGACCCTTTGTGTTTGCTGATGGCATCAGTCTCTTGGCTGAAACATCTGTAAAGGCTACCTTTTGTTCCCAGTATGTTTGCATGAAAAAAGACCAATAATTTCAGCTCATCATGTTTTCTGACCCTCCTAAGTTCTTGAAAGATAATTATCATCTTTGTGTTTGTGACTGGATTGGGGTTGTTTCTAAATGGAATGCTGGTTTAAGGAATGCACTTAATATTTTTACAAATAAATAAGGTTTCTTCCTGTTAGGTATCGCATCTTCTATTTAGAACCTGCTGTAACAAGTCCCCAATGGGATATGCACACAGGGAAATTTGAAAATAAAAAAAAGAAAAGATTAGTAATTTAAGTAGGACTGGTGTAGCCCCAGATAGATGGTCTGCCTCTAATTAGTCTTCCCTTTTCTCAAGTAAATAGGACATACATACAGTCTACAAGTTTACAGGGTAAAAGCAGCCCATTTGGGTTATTTTGCTAGCCCTTTCTGGGATAAATATGGACGGATCTAACTAATTTCTACCAATACTTTAATGTTACAAGATTGTCTTTTGAACTTTTGTGAGCACTGAGCTACGCTGCAAAGATTGACAGTTCATGAAGGGAGAGATAAATATGATAGTATTAAACAAACAAGCATTACAGACTGGAGGTAAACAAGAGGGTAACATATTGAGATATCAAAAATAATACCAGCAAAAAGGCAAAAAAACCAAAACAAAATTATGGTATGGGGAAAAATGTGAGAGTAATTAAGTAAGTAAGTTTTGGTAGTGTTAGTAGAACCTAAAGTTTTCAAAGCCTTTCTTCTTTCTTCATAAAGCTGATAAAATGTTATTTGATTGAAGTGTTAATATTGAACACAGTTAAACTAGCTTATGCTAACTGCTATCAGGTGCTGGCTAGCCCTTTTCCAAGGACATGTTTGATATTCCACTTCTATTATCACACCAAACTCGTATAAAAAAAAAAAAAAAATATATATATATATATATATATATATATATATATATATATATATATATAATTTCCCTTTCTTTTCCACTATGTGTTAGCAACCTTGTGTAGAACAATATGTGTCTAATGATCCCAGTAATTGAAAATTTGCTTTTTGATGGAGAACTGTTGCTATGTGCAATGAATTCAGCAACACCAAAAGTACAAAAATTACCCTTTGTTAAAAAGGTAAATTGTTAAAATTGTTAAACTGGTTGCCATCTATTATCCTACACGTCCTAAAGATGTGTAGTACAACACACTGAAATTATTGTTAGACAGACAGACAGACAGACAGACAGACAGACAGACAGACAGACAGACAGACAGACAGACAGACAGACAGACAATGTCCGGAGAGTCTCACATGAAGGATGAAGAATAATCGAGAGGGTAAAGCAAAAGTCGTGTCCAAGAGGTTCACAGGAGTCCAAGCCAGAAATGAGAGATCCTAAGAGATACCGAAGTGAAATCCAGGTCGGTGTCAGGAAGCAGTTCCAGGTTCGGTAAACAGGCAGAATCCAGCAGGAGTCTAAAGGCAGGTCAGGCAAACAGATCAGAACAGAAACATGCAGGCTCAGAGGTCCACAGGCAGAATGGGTCAGGCAATCAGAAGCAAAAATATCAACTTGAAAACTCTAACTTGAATAATCTAGGTCTGATGACTGGAAAAAGGCAGGTTAAATAGAGACTGGAGCAGGTGAAACAGAAGAGTGGTAATGAGAAACTGGTTGGAGCTAGGCAGGTGAATAGAATCAGCAATCAAGCCACTCTTAAGGATCATGACAGCACAGGCACCTGGGTTGTCTTGAGCTGGTAGAAACTGTGTTTGTGTTTGTAGGTTATATGACGCCTGTGCTCACTTTGTAGGTAATGGAGCAAATGGTTGTTAAATTGAGGGGTTGGCTGATGGGGAAATTGGGTCATTTAGAGTGAACTTGACAATTTACAGGTGAATACAAGCCCTTTGCGTTCCTTTACAAGACAATCTTCCAGTCACTGTGGGACTTTTATAATGGCTGCATCTAGTGAGCCTGTTTGTGTGGCTGCAAGGTGCTCAGTGCTTGAGCGAAGCATTGTAGGGCAGACCAATACAGTAACATTCCTCTTAGTGGATGCATGAAAATGAGCATTTCCGTGACTGCTTGTTTGTAAAACACTTGCAAATTCTTTGCATGTGTGGCACAAACTTTGGTTTAAGTCCATACACGTCAGAGATTCACAGCAGAGAGGGAGCACTCTAGACTATATTGCCGCATTTACATGATCAGCGCTTATTACAAAATCCTGGTGCATGCTGGTGTGTATGTGTATATCTCAGTGTCCATCAACTCTGTCTTTATATGTAGGCCTTTTTTAAATTGTTGCCATGGAAACAGAGTGCTGCCAGTAAAGTCCAATTCAAAGAGGCCAAATCTTTCTCTCTATGTCTCACTCTAGAACTCTCCTTACTGTCTCAGTTCTTCTCAATGAATGTTTCTTCTTTTTTCGCTCCTGTGTTACAGTTTACATTTCCTCTTTCCTTTCCCCGCTCCATGTCCTTGTGCCGCCTATTATTTCTCCCTCCTCCTTACCCTCCCACCTCTCCATCCTTCCTGCAGAGTGGTGTGCAATTGAATATTAACACAGGGACCTGTAATTAGAGCTGACGAACCTCCAGCAATTAGTTCTCCCCAAAGAAGTTGTTCTGTCATCTCCACGAGCATCCCTTTATCCCTCCCTCAATCTTCTTCTTGCTTTTTCCTCCCTCTTTGTCATTCCCTGTCTTATCAGCTGTCAGCTTCACAGGGTGGATATTGTCTGAGTGTTTTTGTTCGCCATTGTAACTTCCATCTGCCTCGTTAGCTGCATTTATTTGCAAGCCAGATCCACAATGCGCCGTTCGAGTTTATGAGAGACTGCATCCACATCTTCCCTGGTATCATCTGCCCACGAAAGTGAGGCAAACATCTATTCCAACTACACCCACTATCTGTATGCTGATAGATTCACAGGGACAGACGCCCTCCCACTCAATTAGATGTAAACATACAGCAACAAAACATTCTTCTGAGAGACTTTCTATTTAATGTGCACTTTTTTGTCTCCTTTAGTGTTCCTGGCAGTTTTTCTAGATTTTACATCAATCCATCCATCCCTTTATATTGTATATTGTCTTTAACAATGCATAAGGTATATAAAGTAGTCACTGGAGTAGCAGGTCTTATAGGAAAAGCTTACAAAGCCTTCTCTAAGCAGGCCTTTTCAGCACATTTCAAGTAATGCCAAGGAATCCTAGGCAAGTAAATGTCCCTCAGATGTAGTCTTGTTTTGAAGACCAAGGATGTATTTACAGAATTTGCTCTCTGTACTCAGTTGGTTCATTGGCCTCAAAAACGATTCATAAAGAAGACACCAAGATGCTTTCCTTAAAGAAACTGACCACAAAATAGAGGGACTAGTCTAACTTAATCTCAGTGATTTACGTTTAGCTTCACGTAACCTCAGGTTATTGAGCTAGACATCTCCTCTCAATGTCTATGCTAAGATTCTGTCCATTAAAAATAAAAACTCTTATCACTGCACTAAGAATAAGTAAGTATGTTTGAATACAAATAGAGTCCTTGCTTTGGCTTTTTTAAGGACTGCACAGCTTTCATTATCTCACCTCAACCTTCCATCCATCTATACCACCATTATTAAAAAACTTCTATTAAAGCACTGGAAAAGAGGGAGTCAGTTAGTGAGTGAAAGATACGGCCAGGTTGAAGGAATGAGGTGTAAGAAAAGAGGGTGGGATGGATAGCGGAAGAGTGTTAAACTAGGCCAACAGGGACTGACGGAGGAATGACGGGTTTTACATCAAAGCATGAGAATTGTCCAGAGCCTCTGTCAATCACTTAATTGGTTTCAGCATCAGTTTATCTGCGTCTCGGGTTTGTGCGTCACTCATATCGCTTCAGACATTTTGTCAGTCGGTCTGAGTAGGCGTTTTGTCGTCTTTCCTCCATCTGCCCTTTCTGCCATTTGCCTAAGTTTTTCCACACACCCCTTTCTCTTTGGTGCTCAATCCCTTTCTTCCTCGCTTGCATCCTTCTCTTCTTGCACCTAATCAAGAAATTTTCGTCTTATCTCTATCAATTTAACTCTGATCTCTAATAGGAACTTTCATTCTCAACAATCTGCCGATACTATTGATTAGCATTAGTTAAAAGAAAGTCTTTTCATCTTCATCTGCTACTTATTTTCATAGTTCTTTAAACACACAGGTATGACCTGACATATATGATGCATTTAGCAGGCCAGTTTTCTTTGTATAAAAGTCATTTAAGACAGTATACTAACTCCTAATTCCTTCTCTTTCCTTTATTTCCTCTGTTGTTCTTTCCTTTTCTTTCCAGGTATTTCTCTCCCAAGCCTACATTATGCCTGTCCGTGGACACTGCAGCTCTTCCCCACCTTGTCAAAATGCTGGGGCTCACTACTCCCCTCGAGTGGTTGCTCAGGGGCACCAAGGAGTTCGGACTCTTCATCCACCCCCACCTCCATCGGTTCACCGCACAACGGGCACTTCTTTATGTCTGCCCCTTCTTTTTCTGCTGCTCTGTCTTCTCCACCTACCTCCACCCTGTCACTCACGGAGAGAAAAGGGCGGAGGAGGCGGTGGCAGTCATTACATGCCAATCCCACAGCCGCCGCCACACCACATGGCCCTGCCTAATATCCTAAGTGGTCTAAGCATTGCTGTCGTGCTGGTGGGCAACTCCAGTGAGATGGCACTGGCAGGGGCCAGAGAGAAGGAGGACTTTCTCCACATAGCTCCTAATGTGGAGTTACTGACCATGAACGAAACTGACCCTAAAAGCATCATTAAAAGCATCTGTGACCTGATGACGGAGCACTGGCTACAGGGTGTCGTGTTTGGAGATGACACAGACCAGGAAGCCATCGCTCAGATCCTGGACTTCATTTCAGCCCAAACCCACATTCCCATTCTTGGAGTACGTGGAGGCTCTTCGATGATCATGGCTGCCAAGGTAAGACTCTCCCACCCAACCACATGATTCTCTTTGCTGAAAATTTGTAAGGAGTTTGAATATCTGCATGTTTATATAAAGTTCAGCACTTAGAAGTAATTGTTTTGGTCAGAAATAATAATAAAAAAAACATAAAGATTTTACTTTTACGGACAACTGTTTTTGTTTGCCTAGCTGTTACCCTGGCAAGTCCCATTGTATTACTGTTCTTCAAAATCTGTAAATTTATTGGTACTTTTAAAATGTTACTTCTGTTTTTGCTCTCTCTGTAATACAAATAGAGGCCTAAACTTAATTGAGTTAAACGTGGTCTGTGACTCTTTAGATATAATGTCTTAAGATGTTATTTTGTTAAATCATAAGAGTTGTCAATATGCCATCAAACTCTTGGAAGCTTTGCTGCTGTTCCCAGATGATTATGACTCAAAAAATATAGACTTTTATGTTAATGACATCATCTTTGAATCATTTTCTCTTGTCTTTAAGTGATTTCTGGGTTGTAAGGGTCTTGCAACAATCGAGTAATAGTGTGGTGTAGTTGTAAAAAGTGCTGTTAGCTTTCAAAAAAATGAAGTCAGTCACACTTTAATAATTTTTTTTTAAATCAATTAATTATATCGCCTGAAATATACATTTTATTGATTTTATGTCTTAGTGCGACAAAATACAACCAGTAGGAAATATTCTGTGGGGGTGAATACGTTTCTTCTGTCCTAGTGGTGATTTTCTCAACTTATGGTGATTAAAAATTTGTCCCCACAATTTTTGTGAATCTTAATTTGAATAAACTTTACCAATATGAACTACAGCATGTCTTTTGCGCAATTGAGACTTTATGACTGCATATTGCAGGGAGAAAAAAGATTTTAGTTTGTACTTTTCTTTGGTGTGAAAGGGCAAACCCTATCCATATAAAAACCATCAGCAAAGTAATTATAGTGGTTGCAAAGTCTCTTCTTCTTTTACAAACATACTGGATTGTATTAGCTTCATGCACATAAAGACAGACAGGCAGGCTTAGCTGGGGGCCCTGACTTGAAAGACAAACTGCCAACAGAGCTGATGCCAGCGACAGGATCAGCTGGAGATTGCACCAGGACAGAGCGCTAGATCTCAGCTTATTTACTAGGCCTTGCCTAATGGGATAAAGCAATCTGCTGCTGCTTTATCGGAGGCCCGTTGAGATTTGGATTTAGGCAAAATCAGCTCATTCAGTTTGTGCCGAATTGTCACTGAACTGAAAAATTACCAGTTAAGAAAAAAAAACTCCTTATCTGTCCATGCAGAGAAAGTGAAACCTCATTCACTAATGAAAGTTTCCTCAGCTGCTGGCAGCTTGTTGGATGCTGTTATGTTCTTGCTTTTTACACTTTCCCTTTAGAGAGGGAGTACACTTTATTGCCTGAACTGAACTGAATTTGCTTTGCTGTTTATCTTCAGAACTTAAGAAACATGTTTAAATGTCAGTGCTTGAACCAGGCAGTCAAATCCCAACAATAGCATCCTGTGGGCCCACAGTCGGCTTTGGGTGTGACAGATTGATGCGGGTCCTTCCACACTGAATCTAGCTCATCCAGCCTATCCATGTCTCCATGTTGTCATCTCTACATTTGTCTGGCGACCCTCTGGTATCATCTGGTTGCTGTAGTTGGAGAGACATGAGCTATAGTGACATTGCAAGACCAGTGGCCACCACCGAAGCTTTACTTTCTGTTGCTTCTCATTACTGCTCGGAGGGAAGATATGGCAGGGAACAGTCCACTCCCATTTAAAAATGCATTCTTCCATACAAAAGGACTGCTGTAGAGTGCACACATTTGGCCGTCTGGTGGTAGGTCTCTCACTTAAGCCCAGTATTATTCGTACCACATCCTATCCATACATGCTAAGTTCATATGTCTCATCTAGTGGTTTTTAAACCTATTTAAAAAAGCTCCTAATTATGTTTTAAGTCAAAGTTCTGTAATTTTGCAGTGTTAGAGTTCTTGATTTTTTTTTTTTTTTTAGAAATCAATGAATGTTGGATGGATAAACAGATAAACATTTAGGGGTAGGTAGGTAGGTAGGTAGGGGATAAAAAGTCTGGGAAAAACCATCATTCTCCAATCCGGTCTTTTGCTTTTTACTTTTTCGGAACTGCCAAATCATTTTGTCCAAAGTCTAACTTTATAGGCTGCCAAAGAGTGACTTTGTACATCCATTTACTGAAGTGATTATTATTTTTTTTTCTTTTATCAACACAGCAGGAACTGGGCCTTTATTCACAAAGAGTTCTAGGTCTAAAAGCAAGTAGTGTCGTTTGAGGAAAAATCTTCCAATTTCATAAATTCTAAGATTGTTCTGAGAATTTTACCTTTGTACGATAAAAGCTATTCACAAGGCACCTCAGGACTTAAGAGAAAAATAATAATAATGATAGGAGTGAGGAGGACTTTTAGTGAGCCTTGGAGGGTCTTAAGCAGAGAAGAGAGCTGTGTGTCTGATCCATAAAACTAAATATTGGAATAAGTAAATATATAAACGCAATTAAAAATCATACTTTTGCATGGATATAAAGATAAAATTAAACATTATTTTCCTGATCGGGTGAAACCAATTAGCTTCAGAGGACAGGCAGGTTGAGGGTGCTCCTCTGGTAACTAGGTATAGGTAATCAGAAAAATATTGACTCATAATGAAAAGACGTTTCAAATGTCTATTCGTCAATTTTCCATGTCTTCTCAAGGTCTGTTATTTGACTTAAGTGGGACAAAATCAGAACAACCAAACACAGCCCAATTTTTAGATTTAGCCTAAAAACCAACCAAAACCAAGGAATTAAAGATTGCATCAGTAAGCATACCAAACGCTTTTTTAGACCACCTTTGACCTTAGAAATCATTAAAGTTGCCCATCAGCAGAGTCCTTCTGCGTTTTCTTGTTTGTTTAGGTTAAAAGTGGAAGCTGTTGAAATTTGTATTCGGTATTCACCTGGTAAATGATTGATACCAAGACTTTTCTAAATTACTCTACTGTATCTGTGCTGTGTTTTGCCCTTTTGTTCAATGGCCTTCTGTAATGAAGTTTTGAATTAATATTGTTACATTAAAGGTTCCAGGCATGAAGGAATATAAAAGGAGTTGGAAAGCCAAGTGATTTACAGACCTCTCAGCGGGCTTGTATGTATGTGCAGATACAAAATTCTCTATAAAGCAGATATACTCTACGCACACCAAGCAGTATTCCATGGCAAAGGTTTAAATGGATTTCGCCGGCCACAAGGCAGAGTTTTCCTCCCCTGAGAGCTTTCTTCTGGCTGCGCCGGGGCCCTGGAGAGTGAGGACGAGGTTAGGCTCAGGCTCCGTCTCCAAACGGATTTGTGTCTGCCTAATGGACTGAGACAATGGAGTGGCAAAAATACGATAGAGGAGGATCAGAGAGAAGGAGGGGGGGAAAAAGCAAGACATGTGGGAGAGTAGAGTAATTGAGATTGTGAGGAGAGAATGAGATTGGGTGGAAAAAATTGTGCTTTTAAGGAAAAGCAGCACAGAGAGGAAAGGTGGGTCTTGGTCGAATTGGAGTTTGGTTTGATCAAATCGTGCTTGTAAAGGTGCTCGAGAGATGATTGACCAATTCAGACTGGAAGGCAAAAAAACATATGCCTCAAGAGACTCTGCTTTCCTGTCACTTCAAGACTATGAATTGTTATTTAGTCTCACTAAACTCTGAGAATCATATCTTTATCAGTGTTTTGCTATCACTCCAAAACTATTTTGATTTTTCTTCACTTTGTGCAGCCTATACTGTAGCTGCATTGGACTATTCCATAGAAGACAACAATGTTTAAAATAATTACATGTTTTAGAAATACTTGAAAAGTTAAAGCAATTCTTTATTCTTCAATAAACCCTTATCAGTTTAGGCCTATTCATGATGGAAGTATGTACTTGCTTGGTTGCAAACTCATCTTCTAGACCTTGCATTACATGCTGAATAATGCAGTGTTTCACAGAGTTTGCATTGATATTAAACTTCTTCTTTCAGCATCTTGATTGAAATAGAAAGAAACACCTTCATCAAAGCTTTTTTCACAGATTTGAATCAAAAATGCAAAATATTTTTTACGAATTAAAGATATTAAAGCTGTCACATAATTTTTTTCTCACCATTCACTGATTTTAAGTTTTAGTTAGTAGAAATACTGCATTGGTCACTTAACATCTTCCTACCATAGTGGCACAGCTCACTGTAAACACATTCTGCAGACACTTTAACACAGTTAAAATTTTCAATCCATTGCTTCTAAGATTGATCACGATAAATAATCCAAGATAATCTCTTAATTACTTTAATTTTACTGTTTTTAATCCTATTATGGAAAGAGCACTATAACAGCACTGAATGCATTGAATCTATATGATTTGAGGCCTGGTGGCCTAGTGGTTAGAGAGCAAGGCGTTTTTGTCCTGTAGAGGCTGCGGGATCACCAGTTCAAAACAAACACTGCCCCTGTGGGTCCCTGATCAAGACCCTTAGCTCCAGAATGCTCCCTGGGTGCTGCAAAATGTTGCTCTCTGCTCCCTGAGGGATGAGTCAGAATTCAGAGGAGATATTTAGTTGAAATGTACAGTTGGACAAACAAAGGTTGTTATTGTGTTACAAAGGCTGGAATTCAGACCCCTACAACAGAAACAGATCTAAAGGGTAAAGAGAAAGGTTTAGAAAAGTTCAGAAAATTGTTTATTCTTTCCCAAAAACTGTACTGGATGTGTCTTTTGTATTTTGTATCTATTGTATTGGAATATTCTTAATCTCAGCCAATTCTTTAAAGATTCAGAATCAGAATTTGTGTATGCACTTTTTAATCCTCAAATAAACATGTTCAATTTTTTTAATCTAAAGAAAAAACAAATGAATTACTTCAAGTGAATTTGAATCTAAGCTGAAGAATCCATCTTAAAAAGACCTACACCTCAGTTCAGATAACGCTGTTGGTTCCAGTACAGCCAAGTCGAACCTAA